CTCGTGCCCCATTGGGAGCCAGGATGCCAAGCCCAGGTCAAAACATCAGCATGGCACCTAAGGAGCCAAATTCCAATCATGGAAAACATATAAGAAATCTACACTTTCTTACAAGCATAGCATTTAGTCTAATAGTCGCACATGGTATTTTCTGGACAACAGACGTACAATGAAATAAAATATGCCAACTGAGAAGAGTTTAACCAGCATTATCTTCATTGTATTTTGTACTTCAACAGCTTTCATTAGCACATCATGGGTCTACCCTTCAACTTTCAGTTGGTATTAGTTGGGAATCACACAGAACAGTCTCCCTATGCTTCTCTATAGTTCTATGGACCACACAGGTGTTAAGAGCAGCAGCCAATCAGCACAGTTCCTTTCACCTGTGCCTGACTCTCCAGAGACCGTGAGGTTGAAGGGCACTAGGGCTTCACTTTGTAAACAGCAGAATAAGCCTCGCACTGGTCACTGGCTTTGGCTGCACCAGGTCTTTTGGGCCTCGGAGAGCCATGCAGGGCTGTGTTCAAGCAGAGGTACAGCATGACCGGGGATATTCTAGAAAGTCATCTGATTAAGGCGTTACCACGCAATGCCCTAGACCAGGGGTTGGCGAACTATGGCCCCATGAGCCAAATCTGGCCCACTGGCTGTGTAAATAAAGTTTTATTGGAAAAGATCCATCCTCATTCATTTATATATTGTCTATGGCTGCTCTGCAACCACAAGCACAGAGCTGAAGAGTTGTGACTATATGGCCCACAAAACCTAAAATATTTACTACTTAGCTCTTTACAGAGAGAGGATGGTTCATCAGGGCATGGCCTGGAATAGGACAAGAGGGGCAGGAGTTTATAGGCATTTTTGGGCAGACTTTCTGTAACTAATTAGGATTTCTGGTTCAGGCAGACAGTGATGGAGTTAACATGAGAAGTTACCGGTTGGCGTCAATTCTGACTCATGGCAACCCCACGTCAGAATAGAACTGTGCTCCACAGGGTTTTCAATGGCTGATTTTTTGCAAGTAGATCACCAGGCCTTTCTTCTGAGATGCCTCTGGTTGGACTCAAACCTCCAACCTTTTCAGTAAGCAACTGAGCAAGTTAACTGCACCACCCAAGGACTGAGGTAAGAAGAGTATATAGCATGTTTTGGAGGAGGAGGAAGAACTAGTAAGAGTTTGGTTTTAGACTCCTTCAGTTTGCAGAGTCTGGTTTAGATGACTGGGAAGCAAGGAGGAAATGCGGACCTGGAGCTCCCTCCTCTGTCTCATTGTACTTTGTACCGATCGCTACCAGAATTACTACCTCTTATTGTAGTTAGTTGTTAGGCTTTCGTTGTCAGGGGAAGAAATTAGATCTTATTGAGTTTTGGTTACACCACGTCCCCATCCTCCTAAACTCCAGGGCCCAAAAGAGGGCTTAGCACAGGATAGGCAAGTATCAGTGTGGGAAAAAAGGGGCAGTTTCAGAGTCAAAATTTCCATCCAGAGAGGTGACTTCTGGATACAACTAACTGTGGCTCCTGCCCCAAGCAGTTCCCACGTTAAGGCAGGGTAGTCTGTAAGAGCCAGAGGTGGCTGCGGACTGTTCAACCACTTCAGGTCAAGGAAGATTTTGTGGAGTGGAGGAAGCGGCACTTAGCCCCAGGGCTTTGAAGAAAGGGTAGGAATCTGTTTTACTTGGAAAGAAGGCATTCATCTCAATGATCTTCCATGAAGAAAAGGTGGTGATTCTCTTAGCTCTCTTTTCCTGTCCTTTGAAGAGGGCACACTGAACCCAAGCCACAGAAAGGCAACTGGTGGGCAACCAATATTTTCAAAGGCTCCCCATGTGACTCTAAGGTGCAGCCAGGGTTGACAGCCACTGGTTTACCTGAGCACGAGCATAACAGCACAAACACTCAAGAGAAAGGGACCCCAAGACAGTCTGGGAAAAATGAGAAGAATCTGTTTGGAATGAAGGAGACATTCTTTTTTCATTCGGGAAAAATATCCTAATTCATGATTTAACTTAATGGAAAAGAAAAATGTAACTGCACGCGGACATCACAAGGCAGTGGCTCCTGACACGGGATGACCACCTCAATCTGTACAGTGCAAACTCTCCTGAGGGAGAGGGAAAGCTAACCAAGTTAGATCTAATGTGCTTTTCAACAATAAAGATGCCGTGTGACACGGCACTTTCAGAAGAAAGCGACAGACACCAAAGCGTCAGGGGCCTTGAACTGCTGAGCAGCGCAAGTGCTTAGCTTGGCCTTAGAACTTCTGTGAGACGCAGCTTTAGAACATCTGTGATTTCTATGTTTCCCAAACCAATCCTGTTGAAGAACTGGTTTTGAAGGGCCCTGTGGTTGCTTAATATTCCCCAGTCAGAAAACATAACCCAAGTGACACTGGGAGGGTTCCTAGGAAGCATTCCCTGTTGGCAGCAGATGCTTCAAGCTCAGTGGGATAACCTTTAGGCTGTTCTCCAGGCTCCCCTCCCTCCTTCCCAATCACGCAAAGTCCCAAACTCTAAAATAGCCAACGAGTGTAATTTGAAAAATCAATTTTGGACTCATTGAACTTCATCTCAAAACATTCTGCGGTTCTCATGATACTAGATGTGAGGGTCTAAGAACAATGTCAGAATGTTCCCCTTCAAAACGATCAACAGGGAATCCCACACCACCCCCTTGCTAACTCAGCCGCTGAGAGAAGATGGGCAAAACAAATGTTAACAATGTCTCTTACTTCCTCACAGACAAGACGCGAGGTGGTGGAGGCTGGGCTGCAAAATTCTACGATCTGGCAAGTTAAAGACGGAAGAGAGGTGAACTTATTAACAGTCAGGTGTTAGGTCTACAAAGACAGGGGATCCAAATGATTTTAGATCAGCTGGAGACAGTTTGGTAAATGAATGGAACAGGAAGGGAGAAACTATACTGAGGAGGACACAGATTTCAAACGACCCTGTCTACCCTACAGCAGGGGATTATGGCTTCCATTTTCTAGACAAGGAGTCCAAGACTCAGGAGGAGACAGGAACGGCCCCCAGGTGTTCCTGACACCAGGCCCACACTGTTCCTGGCACTGGTCTGAGAGCTGGCATCCAACTAAGCTCCTCTTGTCCAGCTGCTCAGGTGCCTTTGACTTGGACTTTTGCTTTCCCATCTCTACAATGTGAAGGACGTCCAAGAGCCTTCTCAACCAACTCTCGATTCTTAAGTGCTCTCACACTGAACTGTTAATTTATCTGTCTGTACGCCCATTTCCGACACTGGACTGAGCACTGCTTCTATTCACCTCGGTACCTCCAGTGAGACCTGCATGCCAGGCACACAAATGCTCAGTTTGCTGAATGTGTGCAAATGCCAGACTGTCAACATGGATGCTCACATTAAGTCTGAGATAAAATGCTAAGAAAATGAGCTCAGAAAACAGAAATATAACGTTAAATGTTCAGTGAGTGTTTTAAAAACAGAAATGTACTTTTCCCCTTTAAAAGTAATTAAAAACAACAACAAAAAAACTGAGATCAATAATAATATAATTCTTCCTTAGTTTACTGTTTAGCTTTCAAAGACAGAAAATTATTTACAAAACCAAACATAAAAATGTGGCCTCAGTGCACTTCGAGAATAAGAATCTGCAATAAAAAAATAAACATTTTTTCTTTATTTTTCCCAGAGTGGTAGTGCTGCAAATTACAGAATTCTTGAAAAGGAAGCAGAGAAGTGGCCCACAGAATTTCAAACCAGACGTGGCATCAGGAAAACCACCACTCAAGCACACAAGTGGCATTTTGTGATCAAATTTATTTTTTGTTTAAATTTCATTTACTTTGTTTTACTGTAATTTACACAAGAGACTGCCAAGTAAACTAGGTATTTTACATTCACCACACATTCCCTCAAATCTCCACAGTTGTTAGAAAAACATTAAAATCCATGCGCCGGGCTGTCATTTCCATGTACACCCGAGCTCCCGATGATGCTACAGATGCCAGTGAGAGTTAAGTTCATTAAAAAGGGAGGACTAGACTCTCTATTTCACAAAATTAGCAATAATCCTCCTCGCACCAAACACTTTGCAGACAATGATTATGCTTTGACAAGACCTATCTTACAACAGTGCCCAGAGAGTAAACACCAGTCTTTACCCTGAGTACACAGAGGACACATGAAACGTGGGGTTTGTTGCTGAGGATAACAGGCATCGCAGTGCAGCAGTGATCCTAAACATCCCTGTCCAAGTCACAGCCATCACTTCAGTGGGGACAAGGGACACGTGGGAAAACGAGGAGCAGGGAGGCGTGGGCTGTCAGCGAATCAGATTACTAATGCAATTTGACTACAGGGGCTGGCGTGTCTTAGGAGGGACAAGAGGTTAAAGAAGACAGCTTGTGACCTGAAGGCTTCAACAGTATCATCCTACTCAAGCTTCCAGGACAGACAGGAGAAAAACTGTATCTGGACACAGAAAGCTGATAAAAATCTTACCTAGCTATTGTTCCTTTCTTAAAAATAAAAGGAGAAGGCGGCGGCGGTGGCTTCTGACCAGCATTTTCGTAATGCTTGTCCAAGATACGTTCCAATGGACATCCTACTTGAGAGTACATCCATCAGGGTGGAGGCACACCAGCCCGTCGGCAAGGCCTCCGACCCGTGCAGGCAAGCCTCATGCTGCATCTTAAATTCTCCCTATCTCAAAGTCAGCATCTCCCATTAAGGTATATTTTCGACATGAAAAGAGTGAAATGTCATCACTATATCCTATCATGTAAGCTGTGAGGAATCGAGACCATTTGCATAGTTTCCAAACTATAATTTCAGAAGACAGTCATTTCAGAAACAAGACTCCAGAGAAGTGCTGTATGTCCAATTTTTCTACACAGCCTACAATGCTACTAAGATTAATTTCTTAATCAATTTCCTTGTCTAACAGGTGCCTGAAAACTGTATAGTGTATATTAGAAATCACAAACTGTCATCTCCATTTTTGCTAGGTTTGATGTAGAAAAATACTTGAAATTTAAAATATAAAAATCCAATAAAAACTGGAGTTCTTTTTTTTTTTAAAGGATTTTTCCTTTAGGGCAAACAAGTAAAAACTGGCATGTAAATTTACTCCTTCCTATTAGATACCGTCAAATTTGGCTCTAAGATAACGACCATCCAGAAATAAATAGTTATAAATACATTTAGAGTTTACATTCCAGATTCACCGGGTTACCAAAAAATTTAGAATATATTTTTCTGTGGGGGTCCATTTGCTGACGGGCCTAAAATAGCAATTTATAAGAGACTGATTCAAAAGAACAGAGAAATAATAAAAGGCTATATATATATATTGGTCCACAACTTGACATTTATGAAACATACCAGCTAGTATTACATTGCAGTCATTTTGTCCATTAATGGTATTACTGTGATAATTACTAAAATCTGTTCCAGGTATATATATTGAAAATATTTTCTTTCGCATTCTTGCTGAAGATAGGTACAGTACTTTGGAGAAATTGTACTAATCCCTTCAGTATGTTTGTATGTACATATATATACACAAGTGTGTGCATCTTAAATCTGTAGCTCTACATGCATTTTATATACAGCTACGGATATACACACACATACATATTACTCATGTGGTTGAGAACCTGTGCATGTGTGTACATAATCACAAGCACACATCTGGGAAATGTCAACACTGCAAGATACTGGTCAGATTCTTCACTCATCACTGGCTGCGCTTGTTCCCCTCACTTGACCTTGGTTACGTAACTGTAAGAAAGGGAAAGACAGTGCAGCTTGTTAAAATACAAGGAGACACAGAAAATGTTATATTTGTCACACACATTCTCCAGGAAGAAAAAATCTCAACGTAGCAAAACCTTCAGCAGCAAACGTACACCCAACTACTGTATTTTAAAGATTTAATCTCTCTTTAAGATTTTGGACTTACTAATGACATAGGATTTTGTTTCATCAGAGGGGAAGATAAACTACAAGCAGACATAAGTCACAGAAATGTAGAAAAACTTAACAAAACAAAAACTTAAAAAAAATTAAAAGAACACTGAATTTAAAGAAAGGGCTACGGAGGAATCTTGGGAGAGCTGATTCACTCTTATTTGGTACAACTACTTCTCTTGACTACTGAACACTTCGTTTATCCCCATGTTCAATAATTAAAGAGCAGGTAGTTCACGTAAGAGGGCAGCAAAGAACCACAGTGGAACAAGGCAGGTGTTATATCTTGTTCTTTGCTAATAAACACCTTAGTTCAGTATTAACAAATGACAACAGTATACTGCTGATTTTTGGTTACTCACACTAGTTTCATTCAATATGTGGGGGAGATTTTCACATTCTTTTTCCTTCTCTGGGAAAATCTCTAATCAGAGTATATAAATTTGTCTTAGAGAAATTTTAAGACCATAGAAATATTTCATATTGTAAATGAAAACTAAAGTGCATTTACACATATTAAAGCTAACTGTATGGATAACTGAAGATTCAACATGAAAGAAGACTTTCTGGTATACACAAAAAACTTCAACTAAAATGGATTATTGAGGTTGGCCCTCATGGTATGGGAGGAAGACTTTCCCTCAGTGTGATTTAAAGTGCTTTTCAATATTTCCTTAAACCACAAACGAACCTACTGAGAAATAGGTCAATTAACTGGCTATGGATGAAAAATCAGCTGGTGTCTAAGACAATGCTATGCAATGATTACGTGCACTTGGCAGCTGGTTTTAACCCATAATGCTAAGAACTGGGCCAGGATTACTAAATGCAACCTGTTCCACAGATAAAATTCTTACAGAATAATAATTCAAGTGTTCACTGTCGATTTCTAAAATATGTATCTTTTAAATTCTAAAAATGAAACCACATTAACAGTTACAATCTCTGCTCAGCAAGTTAACTGCCCATCACCAGAACGGTATTGGTTTGTAAACATTGTTTTTACCCAGGTCTTCACTTACACAGTTTGATATTGTCTCTGACCCTACAGGGGACTCATCTAGACATCAGCAGCCGACGTGCCTCGAACGGAACCCTTCTTACGCATCTAAACGTAAAATAAAATCATGAGCTGCTGAAATCACAGGCTCTACATAGGGGTTAGTAAGCAAGGGGGAAAAAAGAGATCTAAAAGAGATTGTGAAGTGATGGCTGACTGTTCATAACCAAATCCACACTGAGAATGAAGTTCTAAGGCCCCTTGGTCTAAAGACAGCCTTGCAAAAGGCTTTTCTTACACAGTATGAAAGATCTTTCTTAAATTTAGGAAACAAGAGCCTGCAGACTGACGATATGAAATTATCAAAGACAGCCAAGGGGTAAATGAACTGCTCCCCACATAATGTGAGGAAAGAGCCCCATGGTCTGGTCCATCTTTTCATGGTTCCTAGACCAGGAAGGACCCATGAGGTGTGGCCCTCTCAGCTGCTTCTAAAAGCAGGGCCTCTCGGAGGAGTTGCTTAGAGGAAGTTTACTGAAAAGAGGGGAGAATGAAAGGAAGAACAAGATATAGCACAGGAACAATGAAACAAGGAAGGACACAAGGCTACATAAGAAAGGACAGGCATTCGTAACAACAGCCTATAGACAATTTAAAAACCTCAATGAGAAAATCAGGAAAAGAATGGAAAGAAAATAAATAAATATAATGAATACATTGTAAAACTCAACACCCCACCCCTCATCCAACAGACGTACCAGTTGAGAATAAATAGGTGTTACATTTGCCCCAAGCATTTCTTTGTTTGCTAAGCCTAACCCCAGGATTTCTCAGTAGAATTATAAGTAGGGGCAGTCCTCTCCTGCCTAACCTCTCCAGAGGCTATTCCTTCGCTCTAGGGCTAAAACCCATTTAAAAGAAATCCAATTTTTAAAATATCAGCAAACTTAAAGGAAAATTACAATGTATTAAATTCTATCCTCAGGTGTCAAGAGGAACAGGACCTCAAGAAGAGGGGAAATTCCTCAGTGGTGAAGAGGACTTTAACAGGAGGTGAGTGCTTTCCGGGTCGGAGTTTGGCCCACAGGCATGATGCTGCCCAGATTCTGAATATGTTCACAAACCGTCAGGACTCAAAGCAGAAGCAATTCAGTGTGGAATAAACAAACAAAAAAACCCAAACCCGTTGTCATCGAGTAGATCCTAACTCATGATGACCCTACAGGACAGAGTAGAACTGCTCCATAGGGTTTCCAAGGAGCAGCTGGTGCATTCAAACCACCGACCTTTTCGTTAGCAGTCGTTAGCAGCCTGAACTCGCAACCACTGCACCCACAGCCCCTCCCTAATGACCTAGAGCAAAAAACCTGAACGGGATTTAACATCTTGAGGACCAGCACTCAACAAAAGAAATTTGTCTTACAAAATTTTGAAACATTTAACAAAGAAAAGGCTATCTAACCTCACCTGGAACCGATGACAGAATCCTACCAATGTCATGAGGAAATGAGTCCGTTTATGCCATTTGGGTATAATATCTTCTAATAAAACAGGCTGCTGTGTAATAACTTGTCTATCTTCCACACTCTTACTGTGTGCAATTCCTAACTCATGAATAACTGACTTGTATGGAAAAGCAGCTGAGCCTGTGGGCCCACTGCCGCAGGTGGGACAGAGAGTCACCACCTCCATGTCAGGGGTCTCTTCGGGTTGACACTGGGACCGTTCTGTGTTCAGGGATCATGAGACTGCAAACTGGTGAGGGAAGCAAGAGCACTTCCCTGGGGGAAGAAGAGGTCTCAGCTCAGTTCTGTCCAAGGAGGCCAGAGGCAGGCAGGGCTCAGAGCCCAAACCAGGAAGGGTTACATTCCACCAGGTCAGCAGCAACCTCTCTTCCTCAGGTTATGGACAGTTCGCCAGCATAAAAATCAGAACTATGAGAAGGGCTCCTTCCTGAGGGTCTAACCAAGAATCTGTTTTCTATTGCATTTGGTATCTCCTTTTTGGAAATGCCGGCCTGTTCCATGATCTGAGCGTGAATGAGCGCAATCACGCTGCTGTCTTTTGAATGTCCAGCTGAGACCAGCTGCTCTGAGGGGCTGAAAGGAGAGCTGGCAGGTACATTTGTGGCCTGAAGCACTTGGAGGGAGGGAAAACGGGCAAGGCATGGGAAAGAGGATTAGAATTGGGGGGCATGGGGGTGCTTCTCAGAGAAGAGCACCTGGCTCTTAAGCAAAGGAAAATAGAAGTGGAAAAGAAGGTAGGCGGACCCACGACACACTCTTGCCTATTTCTTTTGCCTGGGGGCTGCCTAAAAATAAGGAGGTGGAGGAGAGTCTTCTAAGCTCCCCACTCCTAAGATCCAGAACTCAGAGTCATATGATTAGTACGAGAAACTGGGGTCAAAGAGGTTTCTACTGGCTGGCCTAGAGACCAAACCCCTATTTAGAATGCTGTTTCTGAGGGAAAAATATGTTCCGAATTTCAAACAATCAACTTAATTTTTGGAACAAAATCCATTCATAAGTTGGAGACTGCCTATAGTTTACTTTACGTATAAGATAAGGTTAAAACACTTTATTGCCTTATAAAGAAAATATGTCCTAGTCCTCTCAGAAGGTTTGTATAAAACTAATTAGAAGCAGATCTGCTGTAATCACCAAAAGTAAGCAATCTTAAACACAGATTCTTTACAAATGCAATGTGCCAGAGAAATAGATTCCCTCCTGTGCCAAAGAACATGATTGGCTGCCATTCTCCTGTGATTACACGGAGCTCCTGCTGCACACACAGGCATTCGTCAAACACTTGCGCCTGCAGGGCTTCCAACACTGGGACTGCTGGCAGGACTTTCTATGACTGCATGGAAACCGCTATCCTGTCCTGCACATTCCTCAGGTTCAGTCCCCCAGTGGGGCTTTACTGCCAACTAAAAAGAAATGGGGCCCAGGGCAAAAGCAAAACCAGGCACATGCAAGACAAAGTCAGGAAAGAACGTGTCCTTGGGAGAGACACAGGAGAAGCCCCATGCACACATGCTGCGCTGCCTGCTCACTGTGGTGGCCAGGAGCTGGGGGGTGCTTTAACTTTGAAACATGGTGTGCTGACATCTGGCCCAAGGATCACCTGAACTTCTGCCTAAAGCTTGTGAAGAAATAAGGATTCATCACTAGAGTTGGGGGAGGGAGAAGGTATTTCTAGAATCAATGACAATACCACTAGCCTTACCTTTTCTACAAAAGGAAAGAGGACTTACTGTGATAACATGTAATGACCCCTCAAAATGAGCTAAAGGTAGCCTGGTCTGCCACAGTGAGTGCCCATAAAACTACTATGTGAACTAGGTAATACCACAGAGAAATAACACATAAAAAATAATACAAAACCATTAGGCATTTTACAACGAATAAATTCTAAATGAAGGAAGCTCTGGTCAACTTTCACAAAAGATGCTCAACAAAAAGGAAATCAGAAAGCAGATTAGTGTCTAAGAAACTTGACTTTGATGAAGATAAATAAGATTAGTGAATGGCTTTTAATAACACTCTTCTTAATTCTAAGCCTATACTTACTAAGTGTGTAAACAGTTTTACAAAAGGACAATTAGAGAATTCCCATAGAACAGGAAGTCTTACTGTTTCTAGTTCTTTCTGAGTTTCATCTTCCATTCTCCTAATGTCTTCCATTGTCAGATCAATCCACTTGTCAATCCAACAAAAAAGCTGGCGATGAAAGTTTGTAAATATCCTTTTTTCTTGCTTTTAAAATAAAGAAGAAAAGCAGTATAAGATGGCAAAAACCTAAGATTAATGACAGATTACTTTAACTTTAGTAAAAGTTAATCCATGTTCCAATTAATCCATGAATTTTATATATACTTGGTTTGAAAAGACCACTCTACTATTAGTGAAAATCTTACTTCCATCCTATTATCATTTTGTCCAACAAAATAAAAAGGCAAAGGTAGCACAGTTTAATAGAAACTAAAGAAATACAGTGTACACGTTCTGATCCAACATAAATTCTTGCTGGACCTGATTTATTTTTACCTTCTTCTAAATGTCAGTGATCAAAGGTCAACTTGATTTCTTCTACTATAAAACCATACATTATCATTCTTAACTTCTCTGCAATTCCAAGGAATACTGTTGAGGTGGAATACAACAATTACTCAACGAAAAGAGTCCTAAGTTCTTTGGAACAAGATATTTTGTTAAATTGAGAATTGTTACTTATTCTCATCTCCATTATTCTTTCTACTCTACATGTTATTGCTACTGTATATAATCACATTTATAATTAGTGGTTTTAATTGCTGGATTATTTAAGTTTTACTGAACTTTCCCAAGAAGAGAGAAAATTACACGGAACAGTACGTACTTCTGGACAATCGTAAACTTTAAAATTTTTTTCCATGAACAGAAGGGACTTCATCAATTACATGTGTGACTTCTATTTATCAGAACTAGATTATGAATCTATTATTATGATCCAAGAGGAAGGAAGGAAGCCAATATTTACAGAGTGCCTACTGTGGGCCAATTGCAAGCAGGCCCAAGGAAAATCAAAGTTTCTAGCACTTTAAGATCATTTTTCTTTTTTAAATTGTGGTAAAATATATATATCCAAAAGCTTGGTGTTCTGACCATTTTTAAGTGTACCATTCAGTGACTTTACATTCACCATGCTATGCTATCACTCTCCATTTCCAAAAGTTTTACATCACCCTAAAAGCACCATTTTCTTTTTAAATATTAATGCAGCTATAGTTTAAAAGTAGAAAAATTATGGTGAAACTCAGACACAACTAGTTGTGGGAATCAGACATATAATGTGGGGTTTCTTTATAATGACAAAGGGATAAATGTTCATGCTGCAGAAAAAGTAAACACCAAAGAAACTTGCACAGTCCTTGTGTATTCATAACCACGTGTATTTATACGAGTGCAATTCTTTCCTCTTGCTAGATCTCATGGCTATGTCACTTTCACTTTAATAAAGAAGACATGAAAAAGAAGCAATTAGAATTTGGACCCTCAGATAACGTCACCCCCGGTTCAAAGAGTATAGAACCATTCTCAGTGAGAGCCTTTAAAGCAGACATCCCGTGTGAAAGTGCCAGGTGTATGTGTCACATGAAGTGTGTGTGTGTTAAGGAGCCCCTCAGTGGGAAAGTCCTGGGAGACCTGTTCAACATAGAAAGGGCCCTCTGCAAAAAGAGCTGGGCAAACTCTAACTACTAGGCTTTTCCTCAAAGAAAGCCCCCTTAAGGCCTCTGCTGACATTTGTTTTTCCTGTGTCCAAGGAGAAAAAGAAGGGTAAAAATTAAGCAGGGGCAGTAACGCTCACCTCACAAAGGAGATCAGAAAGTGGTAACAAAATATTCCATTAATAGCTATCTCAAATCTTAGCGTAAATTGAAGTCACCACGTTTTGAGCAGGTTTTACCTTCTGAATGAAGTTTTCTACTTTGCTCTGCAGTCCCCACCACTTGAATTTGATGGTCACCAGCTTATAAGCACACATCTGAGGACCGTCTGGGTTGTTTGCCAGCTCCTTCTATATGAGGAAAATTGAAAAGAAGAAATTATGACTTAAATATTTATGTTTTGATTAAAACTGACTGCTGTGTAACAACATCACAGACATACATGAAGAAAATTACAATCTCAGATGTGTTTAATTCAGATGTTTGGAAAATCTAAATCATTTTAGCAAAAGCAGCAGTATTCCCCTGCTGCAAACCCTCCTTCCAAAGACGAGGCTACTTCCTAGCTCTGAAGTTTAATAGACGTGTTGCTCTGCTTCAAATTACACTGTACAGATTTCATATTAAATACCAAATACTATTCACATCATATCAACAGTGAGTCTTTAATATGTAAGGGTTCTCCTAATGCCATTATCGCGCTCCCTTTGTGGACGTGGCAAGGCACAATAAAAAATGACGAGGATGTTTTAGTCTTCTGTGTCTTCAAATGCTGGCAAGTAGAGTAGCACTGTTCATTAAACTGAGGTATCTTCAATAGAAGGGGGATATGAAAAGTGATGCAGCAGCAAAAATAATCTATAATTATCAAGTCTTCAAAGGAATATCTCATACATATAGACTTTAATTTCCACAACTGATTAGTCAGAGAATCAAGTCAAGATCTGTTCTGGTAAAAAAGAGAAGACATTTAAAAAAAAAAAAGGGCACAAGAGAGGTAAGGAGACTATTCTAGATTAAACGAGACTAAAAAGACATAATGTCTACAATTTACTTTCAGATAATTCAACCTAATAATTTAAAAAATATGTATTTGTGTAGACAGAAAGACTTAGGGAAAGAGAGACAGAGAAGAGGGAGAAAAGGAAAGCAAATACGACAAACTGTTAACTGTTGAATCCAGGTGGAGGCATTCACTGTTTTAGTCTTTCAGTTTTAGGTAGGTTTTGAAAGTTTTTGTTATAAAAATTTGGAAGAGATTACATTACATTACATTACTGACTGTAAAAATGGTGGAGTGGCAGGGACGTCTGACCTCCTCATCCAATTTTTCAAGAGGGAAGGAGAATCATTATTAGCATCAACAGCCCAAGGCTAACCACTATGAGGCAGAGGTCAGACATACCACCCTCCAACCTTTTTACCAGTTCTGACACCAGCTGTCCCTCCTACGGCACTCTCTATTTCTCTGCTGGGTTCGAGAATTCTTTGCAATGGCCACACAGAATTCAAAGACCATACTCACGATTATGGGGCTTATTAAGGAAGTAACAGGTTACCAATTCAGGATCAGAAACGACTCAGGATACAGCTCTTCCATCAGGACAGCTTCTTCTTAGCCATGCCTGCAGGCAGGCCTCTCTCCAGCCTCTCAGGCCTCTTGGGCTGGCCCGGCCTCTGCCCTGCTCAGGCAAGTGTTACAGAGCTCTTCAGCTCCACTAATAAGCGCCCAGAGGCGCCCCACTCCACCAGGAAGCCTCCTAGCTGAAGGTGCTCAACTCTCTCGCTCAATGGGTTGGCACACCCACTGTAACTGCCTTGCTCTGTGGGACAGGAAACCCACTGCACGATCTTGCGCCAGTCTCCTGGTTCTGCTGCCACTGTTTCTCTGCTGCCACTTCTTGCTGTCCTGCGCCACCTCTGGTGTTACAGCTCTCTTGTCTCCTGGGTCTAAGAGGTTCTCAGCATAGGGACCCCAGGTCCAAAAGGATGCACTCTAGTCCCGTCTCTTCTTCTTGGTGGTAGTGAGGCTGCCCCCCTCACCCTTCTGCCTCTGGGATGGCTCATTCTAAGCCTACTGGGACAGCCAAACTAACCAATTCCCTCATTAGGGCTCCATACACCTTCTTTGCATGGTCCCACCACCACAAGAGTGCCATGCACCTCACTTGCATTATTAGCAAGCTGTTCAATCCCCTTGGTGGGCCACAAGCACCCTACTTGCACAGTCCCACCCAATCATTTGGTGAGAGTTACAAGACCATGGCTAGAAAGGCCATATAAAAGTGATCCATCGCACTGCACTATTTCTGTGAAATTTATTAGTGTAGGTTTTTGCACGTTTATTTTTGGGGAGGAGTGAGTGGGTATGAACCAGGACCCTGCCGCATATGTCACTGTTTTCTCAATGGATCCACTTAGCGTATGGCTTTTCCAAGGTGATGTGTGCAGGAAACAGAAATACTCCTAACCTGACCCAGAACAGAACCTGGGACTGGCTCACAGTGGCGAGCAAACACAGGCATGGTCCCTGCCCTCAGGAGCTGACAGTCTAGCACAGAAAGCACTTATCAAAGAATCACAGATAGCAGAGGGCTACCGCAGGTGCGCTCTGAGAAAAGGCTGCTCAGTGAATCTCAATGTTCGAGCTTAGAAGATGATGATTAAGCTACTTCTTAGGACTGTAGTGAAGACTAAATAAAGCAGTATATGCTTTGTGCTTAGTAGATAGTACTAATACATATTAGTTCTCTCTCTCCTTTATTCTTTAATAGAGTTGTATTTACTACTTTGAATCTGTAAAACAACTTTAAATAAATTTTCTCATAAGAGTAAAAAGTTATGTGCAACAAACACCATGGGGGCCCCTTTTATAAAAATTAAATCACTGAGCCAAAGGATAAAGTAGCTTTTTACAAGTGCTTGTCCCTTCTTCACCACCATCCTCAGCTTCACACAGCACTCAAGACATCACAATGCCGGCCTCAGTCCCGCCGTCAGCTTCCACTCATTTTCACAACCCACTTTCAGCAAGTTTGTTCTTGTGAGCAAATATTCTTTCCATTGAAACACATAAACATAAATTCAAAAAATGATGAATTCCTAGGTCTTATTCTAAAACCTCAAGATTGTTCTTCATTTATGCAATCATAACACCAGACCACTTTTTTCCTGAAGTCTCTATAATATTCTAGTTTCAACTGAATTCTAGGGATAAGATATATGAAAGAGTTCTATCTTGGCATTATTGAGACTGAAAGTTCTGTAGAGTCCTGCATGATTGATCAACTCTTCTCAGGTAATCTCTTCTGTAATAACATTTCATCTTCTGAATAATGACCTGGTACATGGGTTAAATCAACGAGGTAACACCAGTAAGCATTTAAATAAAAATACCACACCAAACTGTTCTTCTTTTGCAAGTGAGATTTACATCAGCAGAAGGACTTAGCTAGCTTAACTCTATCTTTCCATAATTTTCTTGTCCATAAAGAGTACCGATGTGATAACTCAGCACCCACTTCTCACTTATTCACATGGTTAGGCTCTAAAGGCTAGGTCACTATGTGAAAAATCAGCATTACGCAAAAATGGAGGATGACCACATCAGATCACAAAAATGGAAGAGGACTACATTATTACACAACTGCCAAATTCCATCATCACATAACTGTCAAACCACTGAGAATCATGGCCCAGCCAAGTTGACACATAACCTTAACCATTACAGCCAGCATCACTCTCGCCTCGCACCTCAGCGTTCATTACTGCCAGACATATGTCATCAACGCGCAAAATAATCAGATAGCTGATTTTTTACTATTATTGTAAATGTGAAATGTCAGATAACAAGACAGTTGATAAGTGAGGAGTAGGTGTATACATGTTATCCCATACAAGTCTAATTCAGCAAGTATTTAGAGGGTGCCAATTATATACCCTAATTCTGTGCTAGGTGTTGTCAGGGAACACAAAAGTGGTTGGTGGGGAGAAGAGTAATCATGTATATAAAAAAGGATAGAACAAGCGCTGCGCTTGGTGCCAAAGTCTCTGTCAGAAGGGATCTTTCTTTTGTGGATGGTGTGGTTGTTACTGTTGTTGTTAGGAGCCATCGAGTCGGTTCTGACTCATGGTGACCCTATGTACAACAGAATGAATCATTGCCCAGTTCTGCGCCATCCTTACAATCATTGTTATGCTTGAGCCCATTGTTCCAGACACTGTGTCAATCCATCTTGTTGAGGGTCTTCCTTTTTTTCGCTGCCCCTCTCCTTTATCAAGCGTGATGTCCTTCTCCAGGGACTGATCCCTCCCGATAACATGTCCAAAGTATGTGAGACATAGTCTTGCCATCCTTTCTTCCAAGAAACATTCTGGTTGTACTTCTTCCAAGACAGATTTGTTTGTACTTTTGGCAGTCCACGGTATATTCAATATTCTTCACCAACACCACAATTCAAAGGTATCAATTCCTCTTCAGTCTTCCTTATTCATCATCCAGCTTTCACGTGCATATGAGGCGAGTGAAAGCACCATGGCTTGGGTCGGGTGCACCTTACTCTTCAAGGTGACATCTTTGCTTTTCAACTCTTTAAAGAGGTCTTTTGCAGCAGATTTTCCCAGTGCGATGTGTCTTTTGATTTCTTGACTGCTGCTTCCATTGGTGTTGATTGTGGATCCAAGTAAAATGAAATCCTCCACAACTGCAACCTTTTCTCCATGGTACTGTGCTAAAATCACATGTTCACATACTGCCCTCCCCCTCCTTGACCTGTAGGTCCCTGGCACTCAAGCTGGGCTCCTGTGTGGAAGCCATCGACCAGCCTTGCACAGGATATAACTAGCTTCTAAGTGGCCAGCCTTATTGAAAAATAACAAGATTGGTCTTTCATAGTTCATTTTTTCAATAAGCCATGAGCCGGTGTTGAGGTACTCTCTGCTAATTCAGTGAATGTCACTGAAAAGCCCTCACACAAAACACGATTTGGGTATACGTAGAATAAGGCACTTAAAATAGTGAGTTAAACCTAGCACTAGCCTAGGAGTAAGGGGACTTGGGTTTTAGATCCCATTATGCAATGTAACTTCCTGTGTAACGTGGGCAGGATCCTTAACTTCTCTTGGCCTTGCTTCTCTGTCTGTAAAAGGAAAGGCTAGACTCTACCAGATCTATTAATTATGGACTGATAACTATTCTGAAACTCCCAATCATTGGACATATTGTTTTAAATAAAAACCTTAGCTGTTTCTAGTGTAACACCGACTCTTCAGAATTCTCCGACAATTTTATAACAGGATGAGGCATGTTTCTAATTAAAGGGTAAGCTAAATGTAATACAAACATGCCTAC